ACTAAACTCCAAATTAGCTTTCAATTCCTTCTACTCACCTGCTGTTCCCTCTGTCTAGAATACTTCTTCTCCTCCTTGCCTAGTTAACTTATCCCTAAGATCTCAGCTCAAGCATCATCTCAGGGAAGCCTTCTTACCTAATTCCTCTACTGAATTATCTCCTACCATCACAGACCTCCGTGTCTTCCATTTGTCACAGCTGTAATTGTTTCAAAATTTGTGAAACTATTTGGCTGTCTCCTCCACTAGATAACCTTATTAAGGTCAGGTTAGGGTATGTGGTCCTTTTTGCGTATCACTGTACCCTGACACCTAGCACAGAACCTGGCATAATGTAAGGGAACAAAATTTACTTGAATACTTATTATCCCTTCACATTCAGGGTACCCAATTCGAATGTGTTTCTTCTCAATGTTTCATTCTTCAGGCCACCACTAGCACCTTTGAAAATAAATTCGTACTTAGGAACAAGATTTTGCTAAGTCCCATTTAGCAAACAAGACTGGATATAAGGGATTAAGCAACTAGGCTCATCATCAGGAACAATAGCACTTTTACTGGTTTCCGTGGAAACTACAATTATCGCAGCAAGTAATTCTAAAGGATTACAAACATATGGGTTGCCTAATTATCAAATGGTGTTTACTATTTGATACTTTACATAGAGAATGGATTAATTTCACAAAGGTGAGTAGGATCATTATAGAAACAGTAAAAACGTAAAATTATTGTTCAATAATTTTTCTTCAACAGTGAGTGCTTATTATGTGAATAGGCGCAATCTGCTTTTATATTACTTTTTCTCTTTATCACCAGATGACAAATTTCTCCCCATAACTAGTCATTCTGTGTTTTGTTTTAATAAAAGTTGCTCGGTGGTAATGATTATAGAAAAAACAAGGTTTCTATTCTTGATAAACCTAATTTACTCACATTCCAACTGTTAACAAAATTACTACAGGGAGAAATGTTTACTCCTTTCCCCCACAATAAGTATTAACAATCTTTATATGCTCTAAGTTCAATTAAAATATTTTATAAAATACATTCTATTTTTTTCATATTAGTATATAACCTAAAATAAATTCAATGGTAGCATTAGTATACACCACTGAACTATTTAGAAAGGATGCTTAAGGAATTAAAAAAAAATTTTTTAGCACTTGTAAACTATAAACTAATTATCTTCAAAGTAAAAACTTGCGGGTATCTTGCTGGAAATAAAAAACGTTAAGCAGATTATTTCACTGCTGCCATTCTAATCCTCCTGACATTCTTTCCCTAAATTCAACCTCAGCATTTGAAAAGAATTCAAAAAGACATCTAACCATAAGCTTCATGTTTAATAAATTATGCCCTGTATGGGGATATTCTCTTAACCATTTCTTTTTAGACCCATTGTACCCCACAAAAATAACCAAAAAAACCAAATCCGTTGCCATAGAGTTGATTCCAACAGTAAGGTCTAAAATTCATACCAGCTTGTTATCAAGAAAATATATTCACAAGTTGGAGCTTCAGACAGTATCATGATTTGAAGTGCGAAGATATAAGAATGTCTAGTTTTTAGTGAATTCATCTACTGATCTCAAAACCACATTCTAGGCATTTAATCAAAAAGTGCAGCTATTTCTCAAACACACAAACTACTGGAAGAAAATTATATAAATGAGGAATAGAGCACTTGTGATTCCACGGCTAAGGGAAACTTAAAAGTAATACAAGGCTCGGGGTTCAATTAAAGAAACGATTTATGAAAAACAAAAATCATTATTTAGTTTACGTAACTGACATACCAGAGCGGAGGAAACCCTGGTGGCGTAGTGGTTAAGAGCTCGCCTGCTAACCAAAAGGCTGGCAGTTTGAATCCACCAGGCACTCCTTAAAAACCCTATGGGGCAGTTCTACTCCGTCCTACAGGGTTGCTATGAGTCGGAATCAACTTGACAGCAATGGGTTCGGGTTTTTTTTAATCAGAGCAGAGAACTACTGAGGGTGATTTTTAGCTCTAGTAAGACTTGTTTCAGACTGCAATGCAATCTGAAAGAATTGTGTGGAAGTAAGGTATTATTTAAAAAACGTGTCATAATCCCCTAAAGCCTAAAACTGGCTAAATGTGCACTAATAAAAATATAAAAGATAAATAACAATCATTTTCAAACATTCAATTATTTTTGTTGTATCTGAAAAGTATTTTGATGTTATTAGGTTGTCAAAGTATTTTATTCAATGTTTTGTTACATCAACACTTTAAAAAATAAACTAAATTTTAAATAATATTTAAACAAAAATATCTACTCTATATTTCAAGTCAATGCAATTTTTCACTAATTTAGAACTCTAAGTTTAGTATTTGGGGGAACTTTTAGAAACAGACACATTATGCAAACAAATTGTCTTATAGACCTTAGAACTAAGCAGGTTTTATAATGATTCATAAAACTTTACAAACCCTTCTACACTACTTTTTAACACAGTGTTTAATTACAGTCTGATTTTAGTAGAAATTTCAATTATTTTACTATCAATTTGAAACAGAAGCAAACATGTCCCATAATTACTTTTTGGAGGACCACCACCCATTAGGATCACTACGTATGATAACTGTTAAAAAATACACTCACAACCAGGAGAGACAAAGGATGCACAGATACATGGCTGATTCTGGTTTTAAAATATTAATGCATTAATAATTAGGTCAGAAATCACAATCTAAAATCACTATGACTTAGAAAATACTATCATACAAAAATTCAAAGAGAGAACATTGTTATGGGCAGCTTAGCATTATTAGCTGTAGCAGTACTGGACCTTGTATACATTTACATATGCTTTCAAACTCACAATCGGTTTTAACTGCTCAGCTCATTAGGACATGAGGATGATGTTGGGTGAGCTTTAAACATTGAAATACTGTGTTTATACATACCCTAAACAAGGCAGCTTCCAAGATTAAATGCTACTTAAAACAGAAATTTTCTAGAACACATTTTATCTCACATTATTAGAAATATGATCCATATAAGTGAATTCTTCATACCTTAAAGCAGTAATAGTTTAAAACATGAAACAATTTTTTGATAGAGGTGATCCTAAAATACTTTGACTTATAAGTAAAATTCTACCCCTTGGTACTAACCCCCAAGCTTTTTGGGAAAATTCCAGGGTCAACACTATAAATATCAAATATAATAAACCATTATAATAATGACCTCAGAAACCCTTATGTGTGACAACTGCTTATTTTACAGTGTGGCTTCTGTAGCCCCAAATCCTTCCTCACTACTTAAAATTATTTTAGGTTCTAGAAGTTCTACCTCTCTGGTGCTTCTGTTTTTCTAAGGCTGTTTAAAAAATCAGAACATGTAATTTCCCACATTATTCTGGCTCAAAGGTAGCTCCACACTTTTCCTGCAGCTTAAAATAAGTTTTAGTTTTCTCTTTTTTGGGGGTGGGTGGGGAGAGTAAGGAAGAGACGTGGGCTTTTGATAACTCGCTAATTTGCAGACTTGCTTCAGAATTGCTGGATATTTCCTGATGGATAAGGCTGCTAACGAAATACATGCCAAGAGATGGCTATGTTACCACATGGAGGACAGCAGTTAACTTTTCCAGCTGAGACCAGAAATGGTAACACAACAATTCGCTAACAGTTAATAGGTATTTGCTATTTTATGGTCTTAAGTAAAAATATTTCATTTACTTATAAATATTAAAGGTAATCTAGAGCCTATGAAATTTGCAACAAGCAAATTCTAGTTAAAAATTCTTATTTTCCTTAAGAAAAATTGGGTATTTGTTAGTGACTACCTGGTACTTGTTCTGCTATCAAGTAATACAGAACAGGGTGTTGTAAAACAGAACACAAAGCTGGGAAGCATTTTATTTTTTTTTTTACTTCATATAACATTGTTCAGGATCACAAGATTTTAAAGGTCTCTTTCAAGCAGCTTTTATGATTTAGGAGTACCACTTTAAAAATAACTACTGATGCTATAAGCACTACTGTTTTTCTACACGTTAACAATTTTACTGAATGCCATATACATTATACCTCTTGCTCCTCTGCTAAGAAAGATGAACAGAAACTAATTAAATCAGATGTTCAGACACTCAAAATGGTTTTTCAAAGCACACCCAAAACAAACCAAATCTACATTAGCAATTATCAAATTTTAATAGTTATTAAGAAGGCGCCCTGGTGGCACAGTGGTTAAGCACTCAGCTACTAACTAAAAGGTCAGTGGTTTCAACCCATCAGCCGCTCCATAGAAGAAAGATGTGGCAGTCTGCTTCCATAAAGATTACAGCCTTGGAAAACCTATGGGGCAATTCTACTCTATCCTACAGGGTTGCTATGAGTTGGAATAGACTCAATGGCACACAACAACAAGTTATTAAGAATTCTTAATACAGAGGTAATGAAACATGTATGAGATTTTTAAAATTATATGT